AATTTAATACCAGTGCTGTTGGCTAGTTAGATCTTTATAGGGGAGTGATTTCCACTTACTGTAAAACCACTTGAATTTTTTGAAACCTTTGCTGTCAGTGATAATTACATATATAAGAAAGTTAAATAAGGTTCTGTAGACTAAAATTTCAACCCTGCAAACTATCAAACCATGGAACTTTCTGGCAGGAAAGATATTAAAGTGCCTGTGAAATGCCCACCCACATGTTTCCTATTTCAGATCTGTGTCAACACTGAAATGGACAGTTGTAGATTTTTTTTGCTGAAAATGATTACTCGTATCCAAGTAAATTTAGCCACGCCCACCTATCCTGAGACGGTCAACTGTTTCCGGATTCCCGACTTGCCGAAAGTGCACCACCAAATGCCAAAATATGAGAGGAAGCCATACCAAACTATAAACAACTTTGCCCATTGAGAATTTAGATTAATGATTGGATGTATGGATATGAACTAACAAAGCACTCGCTGCCTGGTATGATCTTTTCTTTGCATTAAAATTGAGTATAAAAGTCCTGTAGCAATGCAATAATTGTATCTAAACATTTTGCATCAAAAACACTGGCTAAAATTTACTATAGGTGTATCATACATGTAATTACATGAACAAATTAATATTCATGTTTTTTCTCAAATAATATATGTACTGTGTTAATCAAAATTCTTATCAAATATAAATTAATTGTAGAAAAGTTTCTAAAAAAGTAGTACAGCAACATACTAGCCAATGTGTTCCTCAATTACAGCAAGTCTCAAGTATTGCAAACTTGCTAGCGAATCTCGCTGGCGCCGTCCTGTGGTCACTCCCACTCTGGGTGAATCTATATAACAGTAGGGGGTGGTCATACTTTAGTTGAATGGCGATTTCGTTTCAAATATGCCAGGGAAAGTGTTCTATTTTCTTTGTGTAATTAGTTGTTCGTATACAAAGGATTGTCCACGCAAAAAGGATGAAGTCGAATTTTATTAGCGATTGGTTTAATGTTACCCCAACAAATCGCTTGGATGTGATAATTTATTTTCTCACTGATTTGTAGGCAACTGTTCTCAACTTTTTATTTAGTTTCAATCAGTGTTCAAGAAGGCTACACCCATATAGTGAATATCGGTGGATTAATCGCATTTATCATATCAGTTGTACGCCAGCTGACTGGCCATTCTCATGCTGACCAGGGAAACTACTTTCACATTATCACACCTCGCAAAGCAAATCATTCAGGGTAATCCAGACATGTACCACTGAGGCTACGTAAAAGCATTCTATGTTCCCTAACGCAATATAGACTCGCCCAGAGTGGACACGACCACGAGTCAGCGCCAGCAAGATTCAAAGGCCAACTGTTCAGTCAAAACCCAAGCAGTTAGCCAATTCGCTGCCCCAATACTTCTGAGACTTGCTGTAATACTACACGTATTAATCCTATTGTTTCTTAGAGTAATATAACATTAAAAGTTCCCAAAGTGCAGTAATGGAGATGTGCAAAATAAAATACTAGCCAGATTCAAAGAGGGGGGGACAAACATTGGTCTACTACACTTAAATAATTGACAGATCTTGGAGAGCATATTATTAACATCTGTTTCACAGTAGTATGGTAGTATTATAGATTGCTATAAAATAAATGTTTTTTGTATACATATGCACCTTTCACAAATAACC